AGCATCCAAGATGTTTATTTACTGAAGAGATGACTTCAAAACAACCCTCTGGCACACGCCAAACATGCTAGCGACCTCAGACATTGACAATCTGATGCATACGGACAAGACTCTCTTGAGGACAAAAATGTCCAGAATCTGGTCAGAGAAGAGAAACGTTTTGAAAGAGTCGTGAGGGAGGCTGTCTGTGTTACAGATCTGAAGCCATCTCGAAGCAGAGGAGGAGACTTACAACACCGCTCGATCGTCCACATATAAGTCCGTCCATTTATCCCGTCCAAGGAGACTCAACAATGAACTCTGAACTAATAACAAACACAGCCTTTCAGCTGCTTCTACTTTTATTGTAGCAACAAAATGGAATTTTCACGAGGGCCCCCTTCCGATGCCTCTGAAAAAACGTCATTTTGCACAAAACAAAAAAAAAAAAATAATAAAGTTGGGGCATAACTAATTTAGGGAAACAAGTAGCCGGGTTTCCATACCAACACTCAGGCTCGAGCCGCTGATTTAGTCTTTGTGCATGAACTGATGAAGCCTGCTCAGGCGAGAAGCCAAATATTTTCAAAGACAACCACAACAGTCCAGTCGCAAATGATTCAATGCCCTAACAATAAACTAACTTGGATAAACAAGAATATTTCCCCGGCAAGAGAGTACAGTATTAGGCATTTCTTTGTAATTGGGTTTTGGTGAAGTCTTAAAGGGACAGTGTGCCGAATGTTTTGATTTTTGAAAGTTTGTTCATTTTAAAAAGGCACCATGAATTTCAATAATAGGCACAAAAAATGTTCGACCACATTGTGATTTTTTTTTTAAATGTAATTGTAAGTGAAGTAATTGCTAATAACAAAACATAGGGCTTTTTAACTTGCTTTTTTTTTTTTTTTTTTTTTTACCTCATCTATGAAAGACCTGTCCCAACTATCTCCTCTAAATGATTAAATATGGCTCTTAAGGACTACTTTGCCCACCCGCGATCTATAGTAAATGCAAACATGTTCCTCACCAGTTTGACTATCTCATGAGCGTCGGGCGGAATCCTTCTATCTCCACAATCATTCAGGAGACCCAAAACCAGCATGTTTGTTCAGCCATCACTATACAGTAAAAAACAAAATAAGGACATTTTCAATCCTTTAAATTGGTCAATAATCTGTATCAATAATATTCATTCATGTGGACTAACCGTATAGTATGGATTTGTGAAAAAAAAATACTTTTACCAAAATGTAACTTTGGAGTTTTTGGCCCCGATGTTCGTGACTAGCACATGTTGAAGGCAAAATATTATTGAAAACGGATCCCGCTCTCCCCAAAACCAAGTCATTTCTTCCACACTGAAAAAAATGGCGGTTTGAATTTATTCCGTTTGATTTTGTCAAGTGGTTGCACGAAATAAATGAATCTGGCTCAGAAAGATTTCTAAGTAGACTATGAATCCACTGTAAAAATGTATCTAAATCTTGATGATTCCTTTGTGTGCAACCACTTGACAAAATAAACCGAAACAAATTCGAACCGCCATTTTCTTTTCAGTATACGTTGTTACATGTGCGTCTGCAGTAAGTCTGCAATACGTTTTTTTAAATTATTTATCCTTTATGTATTTTGAATGACGTCGCTAACGTCATCGACCTTTTAAGACGAAACCTGGGAAGTGTTTTTGATGTTGAAAAAAAGTTCCTGTCCTTTTTAAACAGTTGGTTTTGTGCATTTCCTCCCTTTCAGCGAGGCTTCGCAAATGCTTCCCAATGTTTCCTTTGTGCTGAGGAGTGATGTGTGTAATCTTATTGCCTGTAAGGACTAATCAAGAGTGATTTTTCCCCAAGGGGAAACTGAGCGCAGAAAGTGGTCATAACACAACTAAGAACATTTTGTTTGTATAGCCTACTGTAATCAACTCCTATTTTTCCGTATTGTAAAAGGCAGTAAATGTGTTTAAAAGGGTAAACAGAGAGCGGAAGTGGCTCACTTGAATCGCAAAGCTTTTATCGGGGCTGCTTCTCCTCTCCTGTGTTTCATTTGAGGTTTAAAGAGAAATATAAGACCAGCATGAAGCGTGAACTCCCCTCCTGCTATCGGAAATTAAAGTGAGCTCATTTCTGAGCTGCAGCGTAGCTTGTTTCATGTGAGCTGTCCCATTTGGACAATTGTGACTGAGATTGAGTGTTGCGATCAGCCCGGTGGCAGCGTGCGGGTTTAACGGTCGGACCCAGAACGTAGCGCCGAGCATGCCGGAGATTGAAGAGGCTGAATTCACAGAGACACACAAAGAGTGGTGTCTGTCTGTCTGATAAAGCCGCTGACCCGTCCACTCCCACAGGCTACCTTTGTCCTTGTCTCGCATGCGATTAAAAACCAAAGGGACTGTTGCGTCTTGGGTCTCCAGTCGCAATGTTTACAACTCCAATTGATCATTTTGGGCTTTTTTCCCCCTCAAGAAGAATCAAATGGAAGCCATTACTCTCATTAAAGAAAAACTGGCAAGCTAATGATTACAATTAAAAGCTGGCAGGATGAACCAAGAATGACGAAACAGAACCTGAGCGGAGTAGCGACTGCGATAGCAAGAGAAAGGAATTAATCACATGGCGCAACAAAGGTGTGAGGACAGGAGTGAGGGTGGGGAGCCAATTCTTGCAACTACAGTACGGCCAGCTGAGTGAACAAGGCAGGGACGGGGGTCGGATACACCTACAAAATAAAATAGGATCTCAAAGTTCACCAGATAGAAAATGGGACGCCTCCTGTACATTTGGTAATTCATTTTCCTTCCGCTCAAATAAACAATTACTGCAACTGCTGCAAAGTATTACATCTCATCTTAAAATACAACTACTGTAATCTCGAATTAAAAAAAAAAGTTAATTGGCGAGAGATTAAAAAAAATAGTTAATTGGGAGAAATTGCAAATATCGCCGTTGAATTAAATGATCGATTACAACACGAGCCAGTATTTATTGAACAGCTGGGGCATTGATTAAATATTGACTATTATGGGCCATGAAGACTATTTGTTTTCTTTGTGCATGCACGTAAATACGTTTAATGCCAAACTAATCCCATGGGTGTGCATTGGTAGAGCACAAAAAAAAAGGAAAACAATCATTCACAAGCTTCCACCATGATGAATATCTTGAAACGATCGTTGCTCTATTATGGGCTTTGAAAACCTTGTTAAATATTTCATCAGCCTGGCTAGTGGCAGGTAATTTCATTACTCCTCTGGGTTAGTTGGATAATTTCATGGAGGTGACTGCCAAGTGACACTGTGTGCACGAAAGCCATGCGCAGGCACCCCCGGCCTTTAAAGGCAGCAAAGAATGGCGCTGTAAAAAAAGCGCAAAATGGACCCGGAACAACAGTTGAGGGATTTTTTTTTATTTTTTTTTTTTACTAATACAGTACTAACAGACTCACAAATGTTTGATGGCAACTATACAAGCACACATTGAAGCAAAGTGTTATTGGGTCAACATGCTCAATTCACATTGGTTTGACAAATGATATTAAAGAAACCTTTGACCTTTTACCAACAGTGCTTTGGCTATATGGTAACGATAACATTAACATGAGACATTCAGTCACTCAATAAAGTGTAAGCATAATTTAACAAAAGAGCAAAACATATTGAGTATTGATTCAATGTCAGTGAGAAGCCATACACCAAGTGCAAAAAAGGGGATCGCGGTGCCGATAACAGCCACCGAACTCCAAGCAGAAGTCATGTTGTCAGAACACAAAGATAGACAGAAAAATCTAAATAAAGGGGTGTTCGCACGGCACACATTTGCATCGGTGCTGCACCGACGTATTTTGTTGCGATATATCTTACACCGGTGCAAATTTTGTGGAGCGTTCACGCGTAAAAAGCTGCTTACTAAAGAGAAGCGTGTTTACCCCGGTGCAGCCCCACTTGCGTTCACACGGCAGTTTCTGCGGCCGTGCAATACGATAGTATTAATACGGAAATAAAACAAAGAGCTGTCGTGTTGGTTCTTTTTAAAACAAATTTTATTAATTTGTTTAACTCAAGCAACTAGAGGCACGTCCTTCTCCGTCTCTTTGACTAGCTTTCTCAATGACCCCCCCCGAAAACGTAAATCAATGATGCCTTCAATGTCACTCAGAAAAGCAAACATAATGCGCCAAACAGAAAATCAAGAGAGGAAATCACAAAATAAATTCTATGGGGGGGGGTTGTGAACACACAACAGAGGAACAAACGACACAAACAACTCTGAGACAGTCCAGTCTCCTACAAAAGGAAAGATGACGGAAGTACAACAGAGCACGAAAGCAACGCATTCTACCCGTATGTAATCAACTCTTCTCATGCGTAGCGAGTCTACCCCTGTAGCGTTCTCACATTCCATTTTACATCGGTGTTGCCCCGCAAACGAGCATCTGCTCCGGAGCAAATTTTTAAACCACCTCCTTGAGCAGGGTTAAATTTGCTCCAGTTTAAGCTGTTTTCAGGGGCTACACGGGTGTAACTTTGTACGTGTGAACGCTCTTCGGGGGCAGCCCCGGTGCTGCACCGGAGCAAAAGTTGCCGTGTGAACACCCCCTTTACGCCATAATCAACTCATCTGCCTGACTCAACATGTCACTTAGTTATGACACGTCCGCTTGGCCATCACTGGCTGCAGATGATCACATGACATTGCTTGTCCAATCAGTGCTGTGGGAAATTTTGTTCGCTTAGTCGTCAATGTGTGACTGTCGTGATAGTACGTCGTGCAATTTTTTTTTTAAAAAGTATACTTATCTCTTGAAATTTTATTTACTTTTTTCAGTTTTTACTAATGATATATATATACTTAATTGTCACTCATGAAGGGTTCGGTGAACGTGCATATTAACTGGTGGGGTTCGGTACTTCTAAAAAGGTTCAGAACCACTGGTCTAGAAAGAATTGTGAGGGGAATTGGGTGAGAGAGGGGAGGAGAGACAGAGTGAATGAGGGAGGGGGCGAGAGAGAGAGAGAAAGAGAGAGAGACACACACTGAGATAATTTTCACTTGCAGTCTCGGTGGTACACCGTTCACGCACCGTGTACAAAAGAAAACTCTCCTTCCCTTAAAAAAACAAACAAACCAATCTGTTTCTTTTTTTTTTTTTGTGATGGAGTTATCCACTTCCCCTCCGGGTGACATATACATGTCGTTATCTCCCTTCAACGCAACCCTCCCCGACACGTTATTACTCGGACTCCCGAGAGGCGTCGGGACCAACTGGACCAACGGGACCAATGGGAACAACGCTACCATCGTGTCCGTGGGTCGCGACACGGCAAGGGTCGTCATCGCCGTGTGCATCACCGCCCTCTACTCGCTCATCAGCGTGGTGGGACTGCTGGGCAACGTCCTCGTCATGTACGGCGTGGTCAGGTAAGAAACGTGGGAGCCACTTATGTTGTCTGGAAGAAGCAATATAGCACCATCGTGAAGAATAATAATAAAGAATAATAAACACGACAGAAATACCGAATGGTCTATCTACTATTTTTATTCTTAGTTTGAAAAAAATCGATACTATTGCAGTAATGTGGTGTCTTCAATGTATTCAAAACGTTTAGCAATGCTAATTTAGATTTTTTTTTTGGAATGTCATTGCTAGTACTTTACTTACTACTACAATGGTATGAAATACTCCGATCTATGCTGTGCAAATAACAATGTTCATTGTTTTAATCCATTTAAACTTATCATTATTACTATTACCAAGTTTATAAATGACATCTTATTCATTATGATGATGTTGATGGGCGGCCCGTTGGGCGAGTGGTTAGCGCGTCAACCTCACAGCGCAGAGGTGCAGGGTTTGATTCCGGCTCCATGGAGTTTGCAAGTTCTCCCCGTGCCTGGGTGGGTTTTCTCCGGGTAATCCTAGGTGTGAGTGTGAGCGCCGATGGTTGTTCGTTTCAATGTGCCCTGCGATTGGCTGGCAAACGGTTCAGAGTCCCTCGCCTACTGCCCGAAGACAGCTGGGGTGGGCTCCAACACCCCCCGCAACCCTTGTGAGGATAAAGCGGATCGGAAAAGGGATGGATGGAGGGATGGATGATGTTGATATGATTATGCATCATTTATAAAGTGTTTTTCTCAACACTTGGACAATTTTCAGACAGAACAGATCATATCAGATGTACAAATTATGTTTTTCCTTTCTTATCTTCGTGCTAATGTGGAATTAGTGCCACACTAACTCCAACCACATTCAGTTAATACTCACCAGAGGGGTGGGAGTGTGATTTCCAGTAGAGCCTTGCACTAAAACCTCCTCATGGCCCAATTTTTTCCTCATACGGAATGTTTTCGTCAAATCAATGTATTTATTTGTCTGGCTAATACACCGTGATCAATCACACTAATGGCTGTGTACAGTATTGATTTGTTTAGTCAGGCACTGCAGTTCATATGCAGGAAGCAGTTTGATTAAACATGTCACGAAGAAAGAACGTACAACAGGCCACAAAAGGAAAAAAAAACAAAATAGGAAAAAAAAGAGAAGCAATCACGCTCCAAACTGCAAATGGGAGATGAGAATTGAAGAGTTTCCTATGCAGGAGTCGTTTTATACAAGTGTGGTTTAATGGAGGTGACAGTCATCGTGGCAGAACAGAGGCTTTCGTGCAGTCGCAACACCCATCGCAGCTTTGTGCGTCTAAAAAGCTTTTATTATCCCGGCGAAAACTGCATATCATTGGCTTGAGAGAGGAAATGAGGCTAAGATCTATACAGTAGTTTGGTTTCTAACCTCGTTACGTTTTAATGGCAATCAGCAGGCGACCGCAGCATACATAACAAACCATGTCTCGTACTCAGTGGCCTGAAAGTGCTTTGCTCCTCGCTAGGTACACCAAGATGAAGACGGCCACCAACATCTACATCTTCAATTTGGCCCTGGCGGACGCCCTCGCCACCAGCACCCTGCCCTTCCAGAGCGCCAATTACCTCATGAGCACGTGGCCATTTGGACAGCTGCTGTGCAAACTGGTCATCGCCATCGACTACTACAACATGTTCACCAGCATCTTCACGCTCACCATGATGAGCGTGGACCGTTACGTGGCCGTGTGTCATCCTGTCAAGGCCCTGGACTTCCGCACACCGGCCAAAGCCAAGATCATCAACATCTGCATCTGGATCCTCTCATCAGTTATTGCAGTACCTGTCATGATCATGGCCGTTACCAGGGTGACAGACAAAGGTACAGAGCTATAGATGCCTTGTTGTAGATGAAAAAATGTCTCCCACCAGACGTCTTCCAGTTGTTATGCGGCCTTTGTTGTTCCAATTACAGAAAACATGCTATTCCTGGGGGGATATTCCCTGTGTGAATAGTGAAGGACTGCGAGCAATTGACACGCAGGCAACTCGAAACATTTGGAGGGGTTAAAAAAAAAAAATCACATTTTTAGTACAGTAGTTAAACTGTAAATATATCACAAACTATGATCCCAAATTTCACACTCATTTTGCAAGATTTCCCTTTGAAATAATTTGCTTACAGATGATGTAGTTTTAAAAATGCACCGACAGTGCGCGTGTACCATCGCCAAAACATACAGTACACATGCTAAAACCATCCGGGCTAAACTTACCCCAGGTGGGTTTAGCATGTGTACTGTATACATCGACATACAAAGATTTTAGTTCCTCACTCATGTAGTCCTTAGTTGCTGTTTGGCATTTGTCGGGGGATGGGAGATGGGGGGGGGGGTCATCTTACTCAAGGATACTTGACAAAGCAGTTACTGAGGATCAAATCCACAACCTTCAGAGTGCGAGACAAGCACTCAACCACCTGAGCCGCGCTCCGCCAAAGTGGAGCGTTGCTATTTTCCTGTTGCATCTCGGTGCCAAGGAGCTGAGTTGAAGAAGGTTGAGGAGTTTTATGAGGACAAAATTAGTTTTGCTGAAATTTGATGGCATCTGTAGGGCATATTCTGACGAAAAAGAAGAAGAAAAAGAAAAACTAAAGAAAAAGCCAAAGAAAATTCAAAAGAAGAAGAGTAAGAAAAAGTACAGGAAGTACTTAGTACATTAAAACAGAGTCACGTGATCGGGATTGGGACATCCCTAGTCTGAGTGCTTTTGCCACATTGAGGTACAGTCAGCTTAGTTGTCCAAAAATGCTCCTTTTTTTCCACTAGTTTCAGGGGCAGGTGCTTTTGTTGAATTGAGGGAGTAATGAGGTTGCAAAAGAGAACACATTTGAGCTGGGTTATTAAACTTAAATTAGCCTATCCACATGAGCCTCCATTCAACCGTCGTCATTTTTCTCCCCAGGCAGCGTCGATTGCAGAATCATATTTCCCAAACCAGAATGGTACTGGGACACGGTGACAAAAATCTGCGTCTTCATCTTCGCCTTCCTGGTGCCTGTGCTTGTCATCACCGTCTGCTACGGTCTGATGATCCTGCGGCTAAAGAGCGTCCGTCTCCTCTCCGGATCCAAAGAGAAGGACAGAAACCTGAGGCGAATCACCCGCATGGTCCTGGTGGTGGTTGCGGCCTTCATCATTTGCTGGACTCCCATACACATCTTCATCATTGTCAAGACAATGGTGAAAATCGACCACAAGAACCTACTGGTGATGGCGAGCTGGCATCTGTGCATCGCCCTGGGCTACACCAACAGCAGCCTCAACCCGGTCCTTTACGCCTTCCTGGATGAGAACTTCAAGAGGTGCTTCCGAGATTTCTGCTTGCCCTATCGCACACGTACGGAGCAGCACAGCTTCTCCCAAGGCCGCAACAGCACCAGGGAGCCCGTGTCCATTTGCGCCCCCGCCTCCCGAGGCCGACAGCCCGCGTGACTAGGCATGGACCGTAGAGGGATCCAGGATGAGCTCCAGACCGAAGTCACACAGGTCGCCACCACAGGAGTGTGAATGTTGGCATTTTTTTCCCACCGCTGGCAGTTTTATCTCAAACTCAAGCCCAAGGCTTTGCGCGACGGTTCCCTCGTGAAGAGACTCAATGCTTGTCTTTCAGGACGCTGAAAAAATGCCAAGGTGTGCCTGTCGATTCCAAACTGGTGGATACAAATGTACATACAGACGAGCGACAAATTAAAAGGGGCGGGGGGGGCGGGTCCACTTTCATCAGGCCTTTAAAAATCATTCAGCACCAGCCAATTCTAGACCAAGTCTGAAAAGACGTTTAAAAACGTCTTTGGGAGTGAATGAGTTAAGAATGCCAAAAACCTGAACACAGAAATAAAAAAAAAAAAAAAAAATATGTATCGACCAAAAAAAAAGATACAATTTAATTCTAGTCCAAATCTATCTTCATGAGAGGAAACCAAGTGTGTCTTCTCAGTCAGTAAAAGTTAAAAACAACACACACACACGAAATGATCCATCGCCTCAATGGCATCACTGGCAGCAGTAAAATGCTTACTTTTTGCTTCACAGATGGGAACTAAGTTAGTGCCGAAGTGATACAAAATGCTTACAACTTTATCTCATCGCTTCGACTCAAGCAAATTTACTTTCATTAAAAAAAAAAAAGCAGAAGTTTTGACACAGATAGTCGAGGCATTCGACCTGAAGAGCTCTGACATGTCCAATGAAAATAGATCAGACTACAAAAAAATCGTGTAGTTGATTATAAAAGTAAGCATCTGGAAAAAAAAAAGCTTTTGTCTGGATTGTTACTGGTTGCTAGGCAGTAGGTGAAACAATATTTATGTCATCCATTCATTTATTTTTCTACAGCGCTTGTCCTCATTAAGCTCGTGGGTGAGCTGTTCAATTGCAGTTATTTGCGCCATTTAGACCAATTTTAAAAAACAACAACCAAAAAAAAAAAACGTTCTCTCCGGAACAAGCTTTTTCTTTTTTTTCTTTTCAATCACAGCCCCATCTGCTTGTTAATGTCTGGACCCATCCCCAATGCAAATTCACGGCAGGTGCTCAATTGGGTCTAAATGTGGCCACCACGACAGCATTAGAACAGCAATTTTTTTTCACTTGCTCGCCGAGTCTCCCTGTTGTTTTTATTTTTCACCGAGCTGTACAATGTTCTTAAGACACATTCAAAATGCACCCCCCCTACACTCTACTAGCAGTGCTTGTACAGCAAAGGGTTTTTGATACTTTTTCAGATTTGTCTCCGCTTCGGCACAGTATTGAGTGCTACATTGTTGAGTGTCAGCTTTAAGAGTGCTTGGAGACGTCTGTGCCATATTGGGAGGGAAGCATAGCTTAGTGTAAACACTCTGCTGCGGTGATGAGCCTGTTTTGCAGTACAGCACACTGATCCAAACGGCGCAGAGCTCTCTGCTTGTCCAATTTAGTCACCGACAACTTGTTAAATGTTTCAACGATGGAGACCAGAGGTGAAAACGACAGTGCGGCCTTGACAAATCATCGCCGGATAATTTAGAGGTTTTATGACACTGCGTTTAAAACCCCCTTCTGCTCAGTGCATACGAATGTGTAAATATCTGAGATGACAGCTCCCTTCACCACCAGAGACGCTGCAACTGAGCAGACAATTGCACGTAATTGTTCCAGAGCCGAAAAGGGGCCTGAGTCACATCCATACGAGTGACGAAACAACGCACTGCAACAACAGCATGTCGGAAAGATTTTGCACGTGGTGCTTTACTGTTGTTGTCAAGTGGCTGCAGACACAGCTCCAGGATTTCTTCTGTACTGTGACGAAAGGGGGTCTTGACGGATACAAAAAGGTGCTGAGAAAAATGCTGGAGAGGCTTACCTGGGGCTAGCGACACAGATTTCTGATGGTGCAGAGTGGCTGGAAAGGGGCGTTGGGGCTCTGAGGGATGGCTAATGTTGGTCCATATCAACAACACAACTGTAAACTCGTACTGTGATTTTGCACAAGCCAAGGTCCACAACTTACTAACACCTGGATACTGTAACAAACAGCTTCCACTCTTCCGTGAAAACGTTTGGGAGACACCAAACTCATCCCAACCTAGTCTTGGGTTAGTCGGGTAATTTCATGGACATTGTCTTGAGCAATGGCACACAGTCATACAAAAGGCCTTCATTCAAGTTGGAAGCATAGAATTGTCCTTGCAATGCAACGTTTGACATGAGTGGTTAACACGTGTGCCTCTCAATTTGGAGGTCGGGCCTTCGAATCTGGGCTGTGTGGAGTTTGCATGTTCTCCCTGTTCCACCCGCATTCCAAAAGCATGTCTTCGGTCCATTGTGTGACTGTGAGCCGGTCCGTGGACCGATACCGCTCCACAGGGCATTTGGTACCGTGCCGCACAGAAAGAACTTGCCTTAATTCCGTTTTATTTATTTCGGAATACGAAAGATGTTTTATGTTGAAAAATTACCGGATTCTCCGTTACTTCTGTCTGTGTCATGCTTGACACACGTCAAGCCACGCTTCTCATTCACTTGACGGATTACGCTAAAAACAAAACGCCAGAGTTCTCAAAATGAGTAAAAAACTGCTGGACATCGCAAATGACGGCGGCCTTAAAAGTCGTTAGAGATAACTGGATTAAAGTTATGGTTGAATATTCTGAGATCGCCACAATAGCACTGTTGCTATTTCCGACATCCTACCTGTGTGAGGCGGGGGTTTTCTGCAGCAACGGCGACTAAAACAAAATGACGAAGTAGACTGGACATAAACCACACACTTGATGTGTCATTGTCTCTTATTACCCCGAGATGGGACCGTCTGGTTGCAGAAAATCAAGCTCGGGGCTGTGGTGAGTCGTCATTTTCATGCACTTTGAATTTGCGTTGTATCGTATTTTGAAGGCATTAAACATTACCAGAGCGATAAGAGTGTTGCGGCCAGATTAGACTCTCCTTGTGTTTATTATTATATTTCGAAAACGCCACAGTTTTCATGCAGCTCATACCATATTATTTTGTTGTATTATTTCCGCCACACCTTAAATGCCGGTCCCTGAAAATATTGTCTGACCAACACGGTCCGTGGGACAAAAAAGGTTGGGGAACCCTGATCTATACCGAACCAGTCCAATGTGTCAATCTTTCTTCACACCCAAAGTCAGGTGAGCTCGGCTCCAACTCACCAGTGACCAATTCGGATAAGCGCTATAGAAAATGGATGGATGGAACTTGAACTCATATGATGCATATTGAGTGTAGCATATAGAGGGAGAGACACGATAATGACAATCGAGTCTTTTGGTGTTTCAAGAGAGAATCCGGTAACATAAACGCGTTAATGTGTTTCAGGGAATTGCATTCACTTTGCTTTAAATTTATTCCTGTGATAATAAAAGGGGGACATAATCACAGATGAGGGCCACACTCATGGTCAATGTCAAACGAAATGCCTTCAATTCTGTGCCTCCCTATGATACACCTGTGGAAAACAAAAAAACGCCTGTTCCAGCATATCAACCATTGACTCAGTGGAGCCTAACCAACCGTCTAGTGGTTGGGCTGCATGTTTCTCCCCCCTCTACATTCAGCCTACCCGAAAGCTGAAGATGAAGGCGGCGCGGCAAGCTCACTCAATGACCTCAAACGGGCTTGGAGGAAAGTCATTAGCAAATCAAGGAGAGGCTTCCGATTCACATTACGTCTGATGGGGTAATTTGCCATTAAGGATGACTGGACATTGAAAGTGAGGAGATTTTTTTTGTGTGTTTTGTTTGTTTTTAAAGCACGTTTTTTGTTCAAATGCGGAACTGTTGCCAATGGTGGCATTGATAGTTCAAATGTAAATACAGTTAACATGTAGTTGTGTTAGTTAGAGCGTTTAAGTGATGCTGGAATTTATTTGGTTGCTAAGCTGTTGTACTGTTACACTATAGTCAGCCTATTTACATATGATATTATAATGCCTTTTCAATCATAGGCTGTACCATCAGGATGAGATGAAGATTCGGGCCAAACTGGGCGGGGGGGCGGTTTAGGAACACAAATGTACAATGAAAAAAAGGTGACAAAACTCTTGCCTTTTTGTTTCTTGTAAAATTACAAATGTGTTTTCTCCTAATAATAGATTTCTTTGTCTTTTCAGTATGGTCCTAATACTCCTTTACATGTCAAAAACAGTGTGATGTCACTCTCGATTTTCATACAGTCATCCGTATAAAAGGAGCGTTTCAGTGTTTTCAGGTCTGCTTTTCCGATGTGAATCGTAATGCCTTAATCAGCATCGGGTTTTGTTTTCTTCTTTTGGAAGGCAACGGAGCCCTGCGCCTCACGGGGGTGGGGCGGAGTAGGGACAGGGCTGGTCCGCAAATATCCTGCGTCCAAGTATTGCTGGGGGGACCACTGCAAAGGAATGTACTTTGTTGATAACGGTGTGCGCTACAATTCATCACATACATCGCGATCCCTTTGTACAAAGTGCTTTAATAAGCTTTGGCTTTCTTGCTCTGCGGGGCGGCATACGTCATCTTGTCACTGATGTTGTTGAACCGTATTAGTAGATTTTGGTTCCAGTGGTACTTATCATGGATAATGCTGACACATATATGTAAATGTCAGTTTGTGTCATGAGAGTTCCACAATTAGTGAGTACGATCGGGTATGGATTTTTGTCTACGAGGAAGAGGGTGCGGTTTCTTGAACAGAACCACTTGGGAACCCTCTGGTAAATGCAGCGGTGGATGGATGTGTTACATCCAAAGAGAGAGTGTCCATGTGACGGAACCTTTGAAAAGCACAAGATGTCATTCGTCAGGGATGCAATTGGAGGTAGTGGATGATGACTTCTATTTTCAAAGCGTGTAACTAGATCCTGAATTTGTATTAATCCCTCATAAAATGCATGATTGCTGTTTGATTTCCTTCAGATTAGCTGTTCTGCTCTATCAGGAGTGGTAAGGTTGATTTTTATCATTTGTGGGTTGGTGCTGATTTCTAACCAACGATGGTTCCCATGGAAATAGTGAAGAAAGGAACATGGGATATGTGAGCATCATGTGACTTTTGTTGGATGGATTGGAAGGGTATGGAAGTATTATGTATTTAACATGCCAACCATACCTGCAGCCGCAATTTTTTTTTTTTTTGCAGAAGAAATATATGCTTCAATTGAATTGAATTTTACTTGCCCACACCATTTGAGAGCATCAATCTGTTACAAGACTGTTAACATGTCTACTGATGGAATAATTAGGACGCACTGCTCATCCGGATTGCTTTCAGGCTCTTTGAGGATGTTCAAATGATTATTTCACACCATGAGTTGAATGAAGGAGTCTCGCACAAAAGAAAAGGCTGCTCGGCTTGTCACGGTAATTCATCCGAGCTGAGCGGAAGACAAAACGTTGTTATGAGGCTGGGGAGAAGGAGCGATCCTTTTCACCCACCACAGAGCGGACATTAGTAAATCGTGGCCTTTATGTAAAATTAATTAATTGGTCCTGCCTTTGTTCGGTGGTGCAAACCGACCAGAAATGTTGCCGAATTCATCATTCAATCAGCAGTTTTTTGTGAATGGGGACCAAAAAAAAAGGGTGCCGCAATTGTTTGGGTGTGTGTACTGTATGTAGTTTGAAAAGACATTTTTACTGAAAACAATTTTTTTTCTGTTACACATTTTTTTTTTTACTTCAGGAAAACATGCAAAAATGACATCGGTTTACCCCAATTTAACCCCGTGTAACCGATGCACATGTTCAAATCAAGGAAATCCAAACGCTCTTTTTTTCTGCATATGTCGATAGCATCTGTAGATAAAGTATATCTTTATGTAAACCATTATCACCCAAATGTACAGTGATGCCTTGAGATACAAGTTTAATTGGTAACGTGACCATGCTCATAAATAAACACGTTTGGCCCACGGGGCCATTTCTGTGTCTGATGATTTGCAGCACTGCTTGCCCCACGTGCAACATGGCTTTTTTTCAACTCTTTCACGCATCCTGGAATCTGATAACATTCCAAGCACTGTCCCTGAAAGAGTTAAAGTCTCTGGGCTGGAAGCTTTCTTTCTGACTAGATATTGAACGTACAGTAGAAAGGCACACACTCGTGCGCACTGCACATCAATGGGGCACACACAATTAAATGCGTTTATGGTCGAAACTCAACAGCACTTGTGCACTGGCGCTAATTAAAAACAGACACGAATGTTGCTGATGCATTCGCAAAAGCTTTGTGTTTGCTTGTACCGCATTCCTTTGTCAGGATCAAAAGCTCACGCAATCAGACAAACAGATGCGCAGCAAGAAACGATTTGCAGCTCATTTATCTGCAAAGTGAATGACAGTACACAGGCTTCTCATGATTGAGCCTGATCAAACATTTTTTTCTTTTTGTGCTGAGGATTAGATCTAGAAAGAACTTGTCCATTTTGGTGCAGTGCAGTAGGAGGCAGTGAAAAATTCCAATTCAAAGTCAGTCGAATTACATACAGCGGTAATAATGCAGTTTTCCAGTAATGGATTAGGCCTGCTGTTTTGTGCATCTGTCTGATACTTTACATTAAACCAGAGAAGCAAATAGCTTGATCGGCATTGGGCGTAAATGCGAACGGAATCCCTGCTGGCTCAAAGCATCAAATTGGGTGCTAATTGCCAGCTGGGAGCCACAAACGCCCGGACTGGCAAACTCGCTTCTTTTACTGAACCTAGTTAGCTTTTA